AAAAAAAAAAAAAAAAACCGTTTTCCACTGGCTGCTTGCCTCGCCTATCCCCAAGCAACCTTGCCTATTGGCCCCTTTCTCTGGGAGGGTCCCTGGGGCTGTCTGGTGGAACTGATTGTAAAACTATTTTGTGCAGTAAGAAAAAGTATCTTCAGCATCTCAGAGACCACCCAGAACATGCCCGATCTTTGGCAACGGTCTCCTAGTTTCCCCAGTATTCGATTAACTCTACCCTGAGGAGTTGACCCGGGATTCCGGGCGTTTGAGAAGGGGGAAACTGTCTTAAGAGATGAAGAAAGGAACAATGCCTCTCCTCTCATTAAAAAAAAAAAAAAAAAAAATCTACTGGGAATTCATTTTATGTGCTTGCGTTTTCGGAAACAGCAGGACAAGCGAATTCAAAGACGACCTCAACCAAGCCCAGCCGGCCATTGGCAAAAGCGCTGAAACTGTTAGGGCGCGAGCCTCTGCCCGCAGCTCCCGAACCCGTGAAACCTGTCCCCGCTGGGCGCCAAAGCCAGCCTAGGGTGGGAACAGTCCCCCGCGCTGAGCGCTGTGGCCGGGATCTCGGAGCAGGGTCGACGACTGCCGAGGGAGTCAGGAGCTCGGGACAACAGGCCCTGGCTTTGTCTCAGCTGCGTTCCCTCCTCACAGCCGCGTCCCTCACATACTAGGTGCTCAATAAATGTGGGTGCGGGCAGCGAGCACCCGAATCTGGCCCCGGGCCCCAGAGGCGGATGACCGAGTGCGCGGGCTTATTCCGACCCACTCTCTCCTCACGTCAGCTGAGGTAACGGCCTCGTCTGCTAGGGCCCCAGCGGCTGGGGGGCAACCAAGAAGGCAAGGGCTGCCGTAGACAAGATGGAGAGCCAGCGGGAGAGAAGTGACAGCTTGGGGCTTGAGCCGAGGGGCCCACCTGAGAGCTGCACGGTCCGCCCAGCCCGCGCTCCCATTGACAAGGAGGCCAGCGCAGCCGGGGCGCGGGGCGGGGTGGGGCGCCCCGGAGCGCGCCCGG